CTGTGGCTGATAGGGGAAGGCGGGCTCTCGCTCTCGCTCTCCCTCTCCTCCACCCCACCTCAGGCGTCCTCGTCCCGCAGCGCCTTCCTTCTTCGTCTCTCTCGCTTCTTGGCAGGAGGGCCCCCTCCAAGCGGCTGCCGGACGTAGGAGGAGGAGGAGGAGGAGGAGGAGGAGACGGCGGTCGGTCGGTCGCTCCCTCCCTCCCGCCCTCCTTCCCTCTTTCCTGCGAAAGAAAGAAGCCCGGCGGGGAGGAGCGGGCGGAGGTCGAGCGGCGAGTCAAGAGGTGCCTCCTTTTGGGTCCTTCGTGGGGAGGGAGGCGGCCTTCCAGCCTTCCCGAAACCCGATCATTAGCCAATCAGGAGGTGATTGGGGTGTCCCGGGGCGTTTTTTATTTCATAATCATCATAAGGATCTGAGCACTGCAGAGCTGGAAGGGACCCTGTGGAGCATCGAGGCCAGCCTTTCTCAAGGAGGCACGCTGGGGAATCGAACTCCCAGCCTCTGGCTTCCGGAGTCCTAAAGCAGTGAGCTGTCCAGCAGTTTATACCTGGATGAAATCCACTTCCTCAGCTAAGCTCAGAAAAATACCGAATACCTTCAGGTGGTAAAGGTAGATGTTGCAAAAATTAACAATTCAAACACCTTATAGGGTAATTCCAGTTACCATATTGTCGGAGAAAAAGGAAACACCCACTACAACAGGACTTATTTAATTATTTTTTCTGCAGCATAAAGATGTACGCATGGGTTAATACTGGAACAATGCGTCTCAAGAGTTTACAGATGTGCTCTAGCGTTTATATATCCTATTAACATATCACTGACCTTATCTAGTACAGTATAGTTAACTTATTATAACTTTTACCCTAGATGACTTTTACCCTAGTTGACTTCTGCCTTCTTCATTATGTTTATGCTTCTCCCCCTTTGCTGTCTCATCTATAATCTTCCTATGTCAACCTGTTCTTCTTTTCCTTATTTCTTTTAAGGACACATCCTACACATTCCTTTCCTTATGTTAGTAAAAAGGACAGGGTTGATACCTATAAGTTCCTAATATGGGAAACCCATACAAAATGATATAACTTATACTATGCATAAGCAAGATAGAAAATAAATTTCTTAACAAAGATTTCCATCCTTGACATCAAAGTCAGGTGGTGTCACCAGAAGTGACGGTGAACCTGGTGGAGATATATCCTCATCACCAGTAGAGGGTGAATCCATATGACTTGCTGGCTGGCTGTTTGATCCTCTCTCAGGTACTGGGGACCAGACATGGGGTCAAGAAGTAGATGGGGCTGAGGTAAATTTAGGCAAATAGTGACCTGTGGAAGGTAAGTCTCAGTTTGTTTTAGGTTTCATTTTGAAGGGAGCATAAATTCCTGATGTTGTCCAGAAGTGTCCTTCAATCAGTCTTTATATGGGAGTCGATGGACGGTATTGTGTTCTGGGCAAGGACCTTGATGTCCTGCGTAGATGGTCCTTTACATCTTGCATATCTACACAAGCCCTTTCCCTTGTTTATAACTGTGGTTCCTCTGTGTGGAACAGCCAATGAGCTCGCCAGAATTGTAGATGTTCTTAAGGTATAATTTAAATAGAATAATTGTAATACTGAATACATTTGTATGTGTGTACGTGCGCGCATATAGCTAGATACTCACGTGTGTGTGGCCCCCACCCTCCTGGAATGGACCCAATGATTATAATACAGGGCCATATAACAAGATGTTCAAACCTTTTCACTAACTATGTTGAAATAAGGACGCAATCAGGTCTAAAACCACAATTTCCAAGTAAGAAAGAAAAAGCCTGGAAGTCAACAGGCCTCATAATGGTTTCCAGTACAGAACAAGAATTTTTTCCTTATGAACTTTGAAATATTATAGCGATGTATTCTCTGTCTTATTAGGCTATAAGCCCTTGTTAATTTTTACTCTTAAAAGAGTTTATACTCTTGACAAAAATTCTCCTGCATTTCAGAATGTAACTGAAAACATTATTTTTTATATTTTAACATACTTATGCTCTTAATATTTTTGACTGTATAAGCTCCTATATTTTCATTTTTTTCTTTTGATTCATATATGACTAAAGTTTTTGTCTCGACTTTGTATAGCTATAAGTTTACAACTGAAATGTACAGTATTTTCTGACTTAAATATTTGTCCAAAGCTTCCGTTTAGTTTTTGTGGATTTTTAAAAGTATTTTAAGCCTATAGTCTTTGTATAACTGTATGACTTTTGGATTTAAGCGATATGAGCCTACATTTCCCCTTCAACTGTAAGACTGCCTTTGATATTTTTTGGATTTGTTATTTTAAATTATGGAACCAAGACATGTTGTAAATAAATAGAATTTGTATAGAATTAACGAGTTCTGGAATTGCCTGGAATTATTACATCAAAAGAAAGTCTCATAATGAGATACCCAGATGAGTCTACAAAAACTTGTGATTGCCTGGTTTCTTTCTGGGATCAAACCCTTACAGAGATAGTGTCAGTTATGATGAATCGTAGAATCTGCTCTTTGCCCTGGAGGTCTATAAATCTTTGCAGGACTCAGTTATCCATATCAGGATCTGACAAAAGGGCCTTAAAAGTTAATGTCAATGAGCCTGTCAGAACTCAGGAGACTGTAATGACTTGGAGAGTATTCCAGCTACTCAAATCAAGGGACTATCTGGACAAGAGTTTGTGGTTCAATTGAAAAGTCTGTCTCTTTCAGAATAATATTTCTGGGCTTGTAACCCAGTTCCATGCTATTTAAAAAAAGTTCAGATGTAGGGGCAGAAACAATATCAGGGTGTGTTAGGTTTCTTGGGATCATTCAGAAGCCTGGTGTTCCAATACATCACAATCCACTAGAAAAGCCTACTAGGGACATTGGCAGGTTGTACTATAGAGAAGTGACTGTGGGGATCAGCTGTCCAGTGTCAGGCAAACATGGGAAAGAAGGAACAATAATACAACCGTACTTTCTCAGACATGGACCAAGGCAAGGAATGTTTTGCGTGTAATAACTGGTATTATCTTCTGTAAATATCCTGGGTGTGTAAACAGCTCAGAATGCTTCAAGGCACATACTCTCAATCAGTGTTTAGAGATGTGGCCATAATCCTATTTGTTTACGTGACTGTGAAAGGGAAATCATGCAAGTGTTCATCCTGCTGTTGCACAACCAATCATATAGGTTGTGCAATTGAACACACAACCACTCACATGAAGGGCAGCTGGTTGGTGAGGCACAGGGAGAACTGCATGATTGCCCTTGAAAGCATGCTTTTTCGTAATGGGTTATTTAATTATTTTATTTTATTTTATTTTATTTGTTTAAACATATACCCCTCCCATTTAGTGGACAAGCCACTACTCTGGGCAAATTCCAGGAAACAACAAAAATATACAGCAGTTTAAAGAAAATGAACGTATAAAAACAAAAACCATGGACTAGCATAAACTCACTACATAATTAATACTAATTAAAGTAGAGATGAGGAAACATATGGATCTCCCCAAGCTGCCAGATTGCAACTCCCAATCGCCTCTCACCATTAAATGTGTTAGGTAGGGATGGTTGGGAGTTACAGTCCAGCACAACCTGACAGGACCAGACACTTCACAACCCCGAGTTAAGGAGACAGCAGTATTTACAGATGGCAGCTGTCTCGTTTCAAAAGGAGCCCTTGAGTGTATTCACAAATGCAGGTGGCAAATGCCGACCTTGCTAATGGGTTGAGAATTTCAGAGAAAAGAAACTAGATATTCTCCCCATGAAATTCACATTGTGCTAAGAAACTGAGTACAAGAGCTTGTAAGAGGAGACTGAGTAGGTTGCTGAGGCAGGATCAGGACCTCTGTAAAATTGTATGGCATACTGCAGATATAGGCATGGATCTGAACTTGGGACTTGGTCAAATGATACTTTGTCCAGAGTGAGTTATATCCAGCCGTATAACACCAGGCACCACTGGGCTGTGAATAATATGTTTAGGGCAAGGCAAAGAGAACTATGGCCCCTCTAGATGTGGAATTCTTATTTCCTATAAGCCTTAGCCAGTTTGGCCACTGGAGAAATCCAATGAGAGCAAGCAGTTCATCAGCATCTGGAGGGCTGAATGCTTCCCATTCCTGGTTTAAGGTTCCCCACCTCCAGGGCTATGGATGGCATCCTTTGGGTTGATAATACCACATAATGCATTTAGGAGGAGGCTCATTTTGTCCCTGCCTGGTACCCAGTGGCAAGTCCTGCAGTTGTACCATAAGAATGACTGACAGATCACACAGAGACATTGACCCTCCTTTCTGTAGTTCTCCATAGGTCTGGGGAAAGAAGAAAGTTACTGAGCTGGACAGCCCGTGGTAGATTTGCATCAGAGGTTGCTTTTTTAGCCAGACTAGAGAATAAATAAAGAATAACATAAAACAGGCACCTCTACCTCATGGTTCCTAGCCTCACATCTAATTTAAAACCAGTCAGCTGGGAGATTTTATGTTCTTCTTTTAAAAAAAAAAAAGAGAGAGAGAGAGAGAGAAAGGAAAGGCAGGGTGCATGGAGTCCTTCACTGCCCCTTGGGCAAAATATATAATAGGACTACTGTGTCTCAGTAGCAATTTCGACTCAATATAACTCAATTGGCCCACCTTAAGAATGTCTTCTTCCTGAAGATGTTTGGAAACTGTGATTTCAAGAGCATTGTGATGGATTTGGTGGTGGGGGTCTCTATGCCATTCCTCAGACTAGAACCCCCAGGATTATTTGGGGGGAATGTAGGCTAAGTAAAGTGATGGGCATTTGTAGTGTAAATGGTCTTTAAGACAGGAAAAGGACACCTAATACTCAGAGGAGGCTGCTGTAAAAGCCCAGGAAGGAAAGGGAAAGGAGGAGAAGCCCATAAGGTAGCAGACTGTATGGAAAGTCAAGATTTCCCATAGCCAAACAGATGGCTCATCAGTGAGGTATGTAAGTCTGCATCCATGTGACTTTAAAAAAAACAACAAAGAAGGAGCCATGCCTTTTCGGCCACAAAAGAAAAGTTAATTTTATCATCAGCAGCAAAATGCTCCTTGACCTCTAAGGAGCGGTTGGGATGGGATTGACCTCCTACTCTGGATGTTGTTTCAAAGTAATGGAAGCTCCACTGCTTACCATGGCAGCTGGGTAGAGTGGCTCAGTGAACGTTGTTAGGAAACGATAGATGAGGTTCACGGTATTGGCGATGCCATAGAACGTCAGGGAACCAGCCGCGTAGTCCAGCAAGACACCGATGGTCTTGTAATAGTTGCCTTGCACTACGGTCTGGATATTGTTATGCCAGACACAGAACTTCACCGAGTCCCACTCCAAGCACCAGGAACTGCTATTCCTACCAATCAGATACAACATACACGCCTTCTCGGTCTGATGCCTGTAGTTGTAAGTGACTCCTAAGCAGAGCCAAGCATTGGAGATCTCAGCCTCCCAGTAATGGCAGCCCTCGCATAGGCTGCGGGTGCACAGAAGCTGCGGCCAGTGGTTGAACCCTTGGCTGGGTTTCAAACAGTTCTCCAACAAGATCCCCATGTTTAGCACAGAATGGGTCTCTTTAAACAGGAAGAGCTCCTCGTTGGCAGTGCTAGCATCAAAATTCAGGATGCAATAATCTGTTTAAGAGAAGTGGAAAAAGGGGAGGGGTGTTATAAGAGACCTTTCCAAGAAAATAAAGCAGACTCAAAAATGAAGCTGTTCTAAAACCATAGATTCAATGAATCTAGAAGGCCAATTTTATATCTCATCTTTCTTTCAAAGAGGCCAAAGTGGCTTACAAGTCTTTCCCACCCATTATTATAGTCTCACAACCACCATATAAAGGGTAGGTTAGGCTGAGAGATCTGAACTATCATCCAAGTGAGCTTCGCTACCTGGCTGAGCTGGAATGTAAAGGGGCATCCATGATCTAGCTGGGCTCTCTAACCACTACTCTTGATCAGCAAAAGGCATGACATTCCACTAATAATTCAATCCAGATCAAAAGCAAAGTGTGCTGCTTATATACCGCCCCATAGCGCTTCAAGCACTCTCTGGGCAGTTTACAATTTAATTATACAGGCTACACATTGCCCCCCCCCCAGCAAGCTGGGTAGTCATTTTACCGACCTTGGAAGGATAGAAGGCTGAGTCAACCTTGAGCCGGCTACCTGGGATTTGAACCCCAGGTCGTGAGCACAGTTTTGGCTGCAGTACTGCGATTTAACCACTGCACCACGAGGCTCTCACACATTTATCTTTCTAAGTAATAACTTTGTAATTCATTTTCATCTACTGGGTACTAATTGTATATTATTTATTCCATATTGGTGGCATTTGTCCCTCTTCCCAAAGCCTAAGTGGAAAATTGCCTGTTTTGTTTTTTCCCCCTGGACACTAACTAACAGCCATCTTGTGAAGTGAATTGCAATAAGAAATGGATACATAAACTCAGCCAAAGACCTCCAGGCTATGAAGGAACGTGTGCTGGAGTTTTCCAAAGTTCAGGAAGGGGGAACATGGGGCCCATCAGGTGTCACTGGACCCCAACTCCCCTTCAGCCACATTCAACACAGCCAGTGGTGAGACATAATGGGATTTGAGGTCTCTAAGCATGAGATCATTCCTGATACGTTTTATATCTGAATTCTATCAGACTCAGGTAGGAGCTGATTAACTGGGGACCGTCATTTTGATCACACTCTTGCCCTGGTGCATACAAGCAGCACTCTAACAAGACACCAACATGGCCTGCATCCTCTCTCGAGGATGGCAAGGAAGAGAGAAATATAATGGCACCTACACTTCAGGAGAGCCTTCCGGTCCATGGGAGGTGGTATCACTTCATAAGGCACCATTGTGATCCCTGGAAAATGGAAGAGGCTTCAGGGTTTGTTCTGCGCCCTGAGAAGGGTCAGAGCTTTGTGCTGCTAGGTAAAGAGGGCAGACCAAAATCTTGCCCTCGTCCGTGCCACGAACGATCCTGATTTTGAATCCTGATTGACTTGAACTTTCCTCACTTTTTAACCAAGGAGTGAGTGCAGCTACTTCTGGACTCCTCTCTGCTACTATCACTGGCGGCTGGGCTTGGGAGGAGAGGCACTAAGACCAGATAGCAATTCAACACAGAAAGGAGGGGACCGTGACAGCCTTAGGCCTGGCCAAGCACAAAACCTTGTTGCTGATAACATAAACCTCCTGGCCTTAAGCCAGCAAGCTAACACCTGCAACATGATAAGAACCCCTGGTCCTGATTCCACCTCCGGTGACAGACAGGTGACGAACTTTGCCCAGTCCCTTGCTCTCCTTTCCCTTTGGAGCTTTCTTGGCTGGCTCCAGCAAGGGACTTTCCCACATTCCCTTTCAGTCAGGGAAACGACATAAAGTCAAGGGTCACTGGTCGGGAACAAGGACACGAGAACAACTTGGCGCAGATGGGAAGGCAGCATCTTCTCCTGGGAGCTCCAAACCAGGTTGGGGTGCCGGAAGAAATGAATTTAAATTGATGTAAAGGCCCACATTTCAGGTTCTGAAGTCTCCCTAAGGATCCTTTTTGCCCTGGCAAAGACTTTGCGGGCCATGGAATGAGACTACCCACGCAAAGTGTCTCCCTGCACTGTAGCCCTACAGGTTTGTTACTGTCCTGTTTGGAGGGTGTGTCCACTTGTATTACATCCTAATATTGGTAGCATTATATCTGATCACACTCCTCACTCACCTTTCTGAAGGACTTTGTTGATAAAGCAGAGCCCAATCATGGACATTTGGGATTTCAAGTCCGTCAACGTCTGTTTAAGCCCTACAAAACTGGTGGGTTCCTCACATTTTAGACCCACCAAAGCTTCTGTGCAGCCAGACATTGATTTTGTCTTTGGGAAGTCCTGGAGGAAGAAACAGGTTTTATAAAAGAGATTAGAATTCACCAAAGTGGGTTAAAAATACACACACACACACACACACAGAGAGGAATCTGGGTCACAGGAAGTCTTGGGAGTTGTAATGCTGGTGCTCCATTTGTTGCCTTGTTCCAAACGGCACAACAAGCCTAAGTTAATGCACTACTCGTGTGGTCCCTTCTTCTCACCCTTGGATTTTGCTACACCAATATTGAACAAATACTGTACAACACATATGCTCTCTCGCGCACACACACACACACACCCACACCCATTTTATGCTGAGTCGGTGTGAGTCCTGGTGCCAGCTGGGAATGAACAGAGAGGGGCACCTGGGCTTTCAGCCACTTCACATATAAAAACCGGATCTTTTCCTTCTCCAATTCTGTTTGCCCTCACCTGGACAACCAGAGAAGTACAGCAGCCCTCAGAGACTCCAACCAGGGCCCTGAGACTTGCAATCCTATTTGTTGCTGGAGCTAAGTTTCATGATTTATAGTCATTTTATATAAATGGAATGAGGCTGCAACAGTGAACCCAGAAAGCAGATAAGTTGCCTTTTAGGAGCACCAAACACTTATTTATATAACATTATAATTACATGCTGTCAACTTGATTCTGAATTATGGCCACCCTTCCCACAGATTTCTAGGCAGAGACAACTCAGAAATGGTTTACCATTCCCTTTTTCTGGAGGCACCCTCTGACTTCGCAGCTTGCCCCAGGCTAAAACACCATGGCTTTTCTCCTGGGAGGCACAGTGGAGAATGAGACTCACAACCTCTGTCTCTCTGCCTAACTCACCAAGATATTGATCTATCTATCCAAGCTTAATTTCCTCTTGAAATAAGCACATCTCCGGCAGGCAAGAGCTTTAGTCTCAACTCCTTGCTACCTGATCCTTTGAGCGCACGGAGAGCCAATTGTAATCTTACTGATGGTTTTGCCCTATAGTCCCTCATGGAGCCGGGTCAGCAGTCAACAGTGACAGATTGTGGAAGCTGCAGTGCAAATAAAATAAAATAACAAATAACAAATAAAAATAAAATAAAATACAATAGGTTGGGCCAGTACTGCCCAACCATTTTGACCGGACATCATTTCCAGGGACCAAATCAGAGATGTGCTGAGCACTACCCAATTTATCTGCAGATGAACAGTTTCTGTCAAGATATGCATTCAATGAAGGACATGGGGGAAGTGGGACAAAATTTCTCTATTTTGTTTTTTGTCTAGGTACCACAAAGCATGGTGTCAAATTAAATAATACAGTTAGCACATAATTAGAAGTGTAGATCTCTTAAGGGATAAAATAAATGGATTTATCCAAACAGAAGGTTTCCTCTCTGTACATCACAACTTGGTTTGGTTTCTTTCTTTCTTTCTTTCTGATTGGTCAGTGGGAGGTAAACATGGGCATGTCTTTGCAAGTGTGATTACAGAGCATGGCAGCTTCGGAGAACTCTGTCTCTGGGAGGATAATGTTTTATCTCCTTCTAACTTGAGACACTTGTATCATGCCTCATATGGTCCATTTCTACAACAATGTGCTTGGGCTGCTAGACTCCACCACTAGATGCAGCAGTGGTCCTCAAACTGTCCTTGGACCACAGAGTGGGAGAGAATATAAGATACCTGCAAGAACTGGTGGTCACTGGGGTCATCAATAAGTGTTGCCAGCCAGAGATTCTGCTTTCTGAGAGCCACCAGTTTCTCTTGCCTGTGCTGAATGGAATTTCCCATTCTGACCAAGGCTGATCTTTCTTCTTGGTCTATAAAGTCCATCACTTTAGTCTGTAGTCGTTTGATCTCTTTTAAAACATCCCCAAAGGCCCGGTTCACTTCGTCTCTGGCAGTCTTCGCCACTTTCTGAAAGGGAAAAAGGGAACACCACCAAACACATCATATTTTCATCTATTGTCTGTCTTCATTTTGTACCTCTGCAGAAACATGCAGCTTGGAAGCAGTCAGTTTGCCAGGGAATTAATGCTCAATCTTACTTTGATCAAATGCATGGATTTTTCAGCCTTCTTCAGAATGACCAGACTCGGCTACTAATAAAAGCAGCTACATGTACAGAAGTAATTCAAGCTCTTGGAAACAATACTTTTTTGGACAATAAAACCCCACAGTCAGGATGGTTGATGATGATGCTAGCTGGAGGATTCTGGGAACTGCAATCCCAAAATAATAATAATAATTTCCCCAGAATCTGTTTAGGATACAACATTGTTTCCCCATAAAAAAATAACATTTTGCTGCATTCAAGACCGTAGAGAAAGCAGCTACTTAGATAGACAGACAGACAGAATGATTGTGCCAAAGGCCTTGGCATCTATTTATGCCTCTAGATATCCATCAGCATTTATGTATATGGCCTACTTTAGCTGTCTCCCTTCCAAATCTCCCTCTCCTTCTTTCCGTGCCCCCTCTTTATAATAGCTGCATTGAGTTCAGTGACAGAATATCCCGAGAAGGTGCAATGTTCTCACCCTAGTTTTTGTGCTGCTATTTCTGGCATCAGGATTGTGTGTATTATTGTTTTATGGAGAGATTGCCCTCTCTGTCCTATGGAATGCCAAAGGGCAAGGCTGGGAGAGCGTTGGATGCATCCTATTAGGAGATGAAGGAGATGTTCTGGATGGCATGGCTGGGATCAGGGATGGTGTCGACAGAGTACAAGTGAAGGCATAGTGTCTGGATTTGCAGCAAGATCTTGTTCCTGTCTCTACATGCATGCTGTGTGTCTATCTTTTGTCAGCAGTTGTTTTAAGTTGGCAGGCCATCTGTAAGCAAGCACAGCCTGCCACCTAAAGCCTGGGAGAGGGAAATATTTGTGTCCAGTATGGGCTATTGCTTGTTGATACATATAAGTACTCTCAACTAGGAGTTACACATGATAAACAATGGTATTCTGTTATTTCCCCATCACCACCATTGTTTGCTTCTGTCTCGTTCTGTGTTGTTCCTGGGTAACATGTTTCCTCTGTCAATTTGTTTTTCCATAAGTTGAAGTGGTGCACTATAGCTTAAGAAATGCCTACAATTAATTCTGCATAGCCAATTGAGAGTTACTGTATTTGGAAAGCTCTTCTGCAACACCTCACAGGAAAAGTTTCTTTCTGCTTCCTATTAGCCTCGGTTCTAGAAAGTGGCAGAACTAGATGTGAGGGGAAAGCACATGCTCCTTAGGGATGTGTTGGCCCCACTCACATATAAATTGGGGATGGTGGTCCTCACAGACTTTGTGTCACTTTGTTTAGCTGTGTGCCACTTCACTGAGTGTATCTTAGAAACTTTTCTCACCACAAGGTAGTTCACTCTTCCTCTGTGCTTCCTACTGTCTGCTACCAACATGAAGATCTGGTTTCCCACATTAGCGTGTGTTTGTCTGACCTCCATCTGGAAAAGAATCAATTAGGACATGGAAGCATCAACTGGGAAACTATTATTTTACCCATCTCTTTTAAAGACACCCTCTACATACTCTTGTGATTACTTAGAGATCAAATGTGTCTTCGAATTGTACCCAGTTTGGTGAATGCCACAGCAACAATGGGAAACCTGGCAACCTTCAAATGTTGTTGAACTAAAAAACAAACAAAAATGTGCAACATGGCAGACAAGCTCTTTCTCAGAAATATTATTTACTTATGTACTCAATTTACCATATTTTCCCATGTACACTATAAGACAATATTTTTCTCCAAAATATTTAGATTAAAAATTTAGGGTCGTCTTATACACAGAAGGAGGAGGGAGGGATCAAAGCAGTTTGATCCCTGCTCTCCCCCTCCACTTTCTTCCCAATAAAGTGGAGGGGGAAAGCAGGAATCATCAAAGTGACTCATCAAAGCGATTGCTGCTTTCCCCCTCCACTTTTTTACGAAGAAAGTGGAGGGAGAAAGACTTTCCTCACAAGAAAGCACTTTATTGCGAGGAAAGTGCTTTCCCCTTCCACTTTCTTGCTAAGAAAGTGGACGGGGTAAGCAGGAACCACAGCACTTTGATCCCTGCCTTCTCCCTCCACTTTCTTGCAAAGAAAGAAATTCTGGGTTAGAAAAGGTGGGAAGGCTGTCTTATACGTGGGGGTGTATTATATACAGAAAAATACGGTATATATTAGCCAATAGTTAATCTGGGTGGTGTACACTGCAATGCTTCATGATATTGGGAGGTTTGGGAGAGAAGACAAAAAGGGGGACATCTTTATTCCTAGCATTTCTCCCACCTATCATCAACCCCCCCCCCCCCGTTTTCTTGTCTGAAATATCTACAGTATGTGAAAAAATATTTTATGATTTTTAAGGTTAAAAAGAGAGAAAAAGGACAGGCTGGGAAATGTCTGGATATGCAACACATGTGAAGGCGGCTGATTTCAATTGAGATACCCTGAGGAACACAGGAAGTACAGTTCACGGACTGCAGAGTGAATTCCTGCCTGGGAGTGCACTGGTCGACCAAAAGAGCAATGAGCTGAGGGTGGAGTTTGCCAGTGGGAAGAACAGGAAAGAAGGAGAAAGAAGTGTTTCCTCTGCTAGAAGATGCTGTGATGTCTGTTAACATGAAGAGATGACTGCAGACAAATTAAGAGATGATATAGTTAGATATAGCTATTTGGCCATGACGGTTATAGTATTAGAGGCCATATGTCTTTGTATATCTGTTTTGCAGGAAAACAAAGGTTGTGTGATTTTGTTCCTGTCCTGCTTGTGTATTTCTGATAGGCATCTGGTTGTCCCCTGCAGAAGCAGACCACGAGCCCAGGTAGGCTTCCGGACAGATCTAGCCAGGCTCTTGCGTTCTTAAGAGTAGAAAAGAGAGCTCTGCCATTGGAAGGCATGGCTGAAATCCAGTTGCGATTTCCCAGCAGTTGGAGATGACTGGGTCAGTTTACACTGGAAATTATGTAAATAACACATCCCAGTCATTCTTATATAAGCATATTATACATGCTGGGTTGCACAATTATATGTTACAGCAAGATAAAAAGAGACAGCACCATACTCACTTCTTTCTTTGCTCGGTCCTCTTTTAGAGAGACTATGTCATGGTTCTTGTGCTCCTCCCGGACACACATTTGGCAAATGTATTTGCCTTCCATTTTGCAGAACAGTTCCAGCAGCCTGCGATGTTTCAAGCAGATGCTGGCCTTCAGGTCAACAAGAGGCTCTACCAGCTGATGGTTCTTGAAGGTATTGTCTTCAAAGTGGGACCGGATGTGGTTGTCACACAAGGCAGCCATACACTGCAGACAAGACTTGATTGCTTTGAACTTCCTAGGGGAGCAAAAGTCACATGGGACATCGCTTGAACCTGCAAGCTTCCTTGGCCTCTGGGACTCCTCATGTGTAAATGTCATGGCAATTTCTCCCAAACTTATGTTTTTGCGGAGCTGAGGCCTTGAACTGAAAGGCTCACGACACTGAGGGCAGTAAGGGCATTCCCCAATCAGGACTTGATGGTCCCAGTAATCCTGCAAACAATCCATGCAGAAGTTGTGTCCACAGGCTGTGGTGACAGGCTCTCTGAATACCTCAAGGCATATTGGACACACAATGCTGTCCTCGAGGAAAACAAAGCCGGTCTTCTTCATCATAATGGGTCTTCCGCATTGGTGCCTGCCCTCTGTAATTGGTATAAGTATTTAAAATATTATAAATATATATTTACTCAGTTTATACAACTTTTTTACTCACTTTATACAACCAACTGACCATGTGTTAGCCCGCAGTGAGAAAATGTAGTTTCAATAGTCATAGATTCACTTAACATTTAACGAAACTCTGTATAAGATATAATTAACATACCTGAAACATTATTTCAAGAAATATGTGGCTTTTAAAACTATATTACACTGCTTAACATAATCGGGGGGGAAAGCAGCCTATAGATAAAACAAACACCATCACCGACAACAATAATTCAGATTGGATGACTTTTAAAAATAGTTAAATGATGCAAAGGTTTCATTGCTAATTTAATCATACATCTCTTTCCTCCCAAAATTCATAGTCATTTGCTCAGAGTTAAGTTTTGTTGTGGCCAGTGGAGTTTACTCCAAGGTAAATGTTCACAGAATTTTAATCAGAGAAAATTTTGACAAGAACAACAGTTATACGAGAGGGCAGCTGTTCTAGTAGATTGGAATAGGGAGTGACCTGCAGATCAGAGATCCATTCAGCTGAATTCCTTAACCAAAACTTTGACAAAGCCTGTAACCCCCCCCCCCCACACACACATGATTTTTAAACATTTCTTTTCAAAAAATTAGGACTGGAAATCTACGTTCATAAACCTAAGCTTCCCTGAAGCAACATATGCATTATGCCAGACTGCAAGATTTAACTCGCAGCCATACACATGCTGCTGATCACCTATTCTGAGGTCCTACACCTGCCAAGAATATTTATCAACATAAGGTAAAGGTTCCCCTTGACAATTTTTGTCCAGTCATGTTTGACTCTAGGGGCTGGTGCTCATCCCCGTTTCCAAGCCATAGAGCCAGCGTTTTGTCCAAAGACAATTTTCCGTGGTCACATGGCCAGTGCGACTTAGACACAGAACGCCTTCCCACCCAGGTGGTCCCTATTGATCTACTTGCATTTGCATGCTTTCGAACCGCTAGGTTGGCGGGAGCTGGGACAAGTGAGAGGCGCTCACTCCATCACGTGGATTCGATCTTATGACTGCTGGTCTTCTAACCCTGCAGCACAGGCTTCTGCAGTTTAGCCCGCAGCGCCACCACGTCCCTTCATTATCAACATAGCACTGTCCAAATTCACAGCTGTATCACTTTGCCTGCAGCAGAGTTCTGTGACACTTTAAAGACTAATTCATTTCTTCGTTCAGTCGTGTCTGACTCTTCGTGACCCCATGGACCAGAGCACGCCAGGCCCTCCTATATTCCACTGCCTTTACTATATTGCAAGCCTTTTGTCTATGTTTCCAAACGCTTATGTTGCAAGAAATTATCACCACTATTAGGTACATTTAGGTACAATTTATTATTATTAGTTTTATTCATATGCCGTATTTCTCCCAACAAGGGACCCAAAGCGTCTCACAACATTAAAATTCACACAATTAAAAAAAAAAACAATGTTAAATATTAAAAGACAAATTAAACAATATATGATTTAATACAATTTAAAAATTAAAACATGAAAACATAAAAAATATTAACATTTCTGCTAAAATGGGGTTCAGGGATTCAGTTATTGTTAAAAACCTGCCTGAAGAGATGGGCTTTTAGCTTTTTTTGAAAGGATAAAAGGGAAGGGGCCATCCTGATCTCCCCCAAGGGAGAGCATTCCATAGCCTAGCAGCTGCCACAGAGAAGGGCCTCTCCCGTGTCCCCACCAGCTGTGCTTGTGCTTGCAATGGGACCGAGAGGAGGGTCTCCTCTGCTGATCTTAATTGCTGAGAAGGCGCATATAGGGAGATACGGTCTTTCAGGTAGCCTGGACACAAGCTGTATAGGCAGGGCTTGAAAAATCCACTTGTCCACTCATCTGTGATGAGTGAAAAAAATGCTGCTTGAGGAGCCACAGCTCCTTCCCCCCCTCCTTACCCTCAGTCCATCTCTTTCTCTCTCTCTGATCCTGCAGTCCTCCCCTCCCCCTTCCCATTGCAAAAGGGAAAACAGCCCTCTTCTTAGAAGAGAGTTCACACAGCACATATATAGCTCTGCAGGAGAATGTAGAGTAGTCCCATGCTGGAGAATATGTGGATTCCCTGCTCCCAATTTCAACCTAATGACCTGGCTCCTTAAGAGGCTGGGTGTTTCTGTGTTCAGTTTTGTTTTTGCTGGAGACACTGAAAAGAAAGGCATTCAAAATACAAGCTTCATGACCCCACAGGCACACATGTAACAAAGCAACCCAAGTCTGAGGGTATATTCATTTTGGGTTTGTATGCATTGTTATGTAGAAAATGCCTAGTTTAAATTTAAATATAAATTGCAAGGCTATAGTCCGGTCATGCTGACTGGTGAGACATTCTAAAATTTTTCAAGCCCTGTGTATAGGGCTTTATAGGTAATGACAGTCAGTTTGAATTGGGTCCAGAAACAGACCGGTAGCCAGTGCAGTTCTTGTAACAGATGCATTATAGGCTCCCTATAGCTGGCCCCAGTCAGCAGTCTGGCTGCAGTTTTGCACCAGCAGAAGTTTCTGAACTGCCTTCAAAGGCAGCCCCACATAGAGCGCATTACAGTAATCCAAACGGGGTGCAACTAAGGCATGTGTCACTGTAGCCAAATTTAGGTACTCTTTGTTGTGTTTACATTCAAACATCCTTAATATCCTTGTTGACTGTGTGCCGTGAAGCTACATCTGACCTATAGAGATCCTAATATGTATGGGTGTGCCCAGACAGGGACTTGTCCTGCAGTTTGGTCCAATTTGGAGACGGGCTGGTTTGCTCCTTTTCTTGGCCACCACTTGACATATGGGTGATCGTGAACTAGTCCATCCCTACTCACATCTTTTTTTGGGTCCCTATCAGGGATTCCTCTTTTGTGTGAATACGATTGCTCCGTTTTGGTTCAGTTCTGCATATGTGATTGCTGGGAATGAACCACAACAGATAGCTTAAGCTGTCATTTTGTGTAAGCTGCTTCATGGCACTGGGAAATTTAAAGCTGCTTCTTGCTCCTCCTCAGAGGGAGAGAAAAAAATGCAAATGTGTTTGTGTTTGTTATGGCAGCACTGAATTGATTGCTTGGATAGCCAGTAAAGAACAATGCCATTTAGAAATATGGTACATTTTTAAAATTGAAAGCTTTCTCCTGCTCCTCATAGAAAAGGAGACAAGAGGGGACAATGAGAACAATCTTTTTTTTCATCCTGTAAAGTGGGGGGGGGGCAACTACAGTTACTTGCATGGCAGTGTGGTTTCCCAAACCACTCAATTACATACTGCACTTCAAAATTACCCTGTCAAGGATGATCCAGCGTGGGACAATATGCCAGTCTAGTTGCACCCTAATTTTCATGGCAGAATGGAGATTTGAACCCAGGTCTCCTGAGGTATTCTTCACACATCAGGGTCGTTATGCAACTTACACAATCCAGATACGACCTATATTTCTTTCATACTGTTAATGGCTGTGGCCAAAAAAAAAAAAGTTGAAAATAGCTGCACTACAACACACTAGCTTCCCTTAATACCCACAAGACCTTATTCACACTTACAGCAACTGTAGGTTTTTCTCAACACTATTCTTTTTGGTTGTTGTGGGTTTTTCGGGCTCTTTGGCCGTGTTCTGAAGGTTGTTCTTCCTAACGTTTCGCCAGTCTCTGTGACCGGCATCTTCAGAGGACAGCACTCTGGCGAAATGTTAGGAAGAACAACATTCAGAACACAGCCAAAGAGCTCGAAAAACCCACAACAACCATTAGATCCCGGCCGTGAAAACCTTCGCGAATATATTATTTTCTTTATGTGTAATGTTCCCAAATGAAAGGTTCAAAAATTTAGCTGCGCAGAACCTTATTTCTGTACAAGAGGTAATTTCTACTCTTTTTCCAATTTAAAAATCCCATCTTGTAGTTTCTGACCTAAGCATATCTCATTATGAGATGGAGAATAATGAAAGAGCAGTTATGTGTATAGGGGATGCAATGGCCATCCATCCTCTTCTGCTTAAGACTAAGTCTGTTGCACTTTAGTAGTGGATGTAACTAACTCATTCAATCATGCCCACCACAGAGATATGATTATGTGCTGACAAGTTGATTCCAATCTATGATAACCTTTTCCAGGGATTTCCATTCTTCTTGAGGTGCTCTGGTTCTGTGCAACTTGCTCAAGGGTACAAAGCTGGCTCTTCTTCCGGGAAGCAAAGTAGGGAATTGAGCTCTGTGGTCAGGTATCTAGCAAGCAAATTCAGAGATACCTGCCCTCAAGAGAAGACAATTGAAGGGGACAAGGCTGGCAGAGATACTAGAAGCAGCTTGCTCATTGTCTGGGCATTATAACATGCATTTATTTATCACAGAACATTGCTAGTTTGGGAATTACTTTTACAGTATATGATATAGGAAAAGAAACTAAAACAGATGGAATAACTGGTTATGCCTATTTGAACAGAAAATGTTCTAACTTAATACAAGGAAATCAATTAATTACTTGTATTCTTTTCACATCTGTAATCTGAACCTACAACTTTTCAGTGCACTCACCTGTTTAAGCTACCAGATCAATTGTGACACTTTAGTAACTCTGACAGTCTTCTGGCAAAAACTGATAGTTAATGGGTACAACTAGAAAGTTCTTCACACAAATTTGTCCCACAGCTTCAAAGAGTTTTTCCAAGTTCCTCTTGACCCAAGGCAGCAGCTCCTATTGAGCATCTGCCACTTAACAGTATCTCAGAGCCTAGGTTTGCTACATGACATCATAGTTCAAAGTACAAAGGTTGGAGGAATTAAACACTCTGGTTATGATGTCATTGCCAACACACTGAAGCAAAACATTAAAGATTCACTCTACAGTGTCCTGGCAAAGATGTGCCAAACTAAAGGTGCCTCAAATCACAACAGAGTAGATCAGACATTCAATGGGGCCCTGGCATATTTGAAGGGGTCCACAAACTGGAAACAAATGTTCACATATAAGGTTCATTATGTGACTTGTAATCTTGATTCAGCCCATATTTCTTTCATGTTGTGTTTATGGCAGTGACGAAAAAAAAAAGGTTGAGAGTGGTTGGACTAGATCATAAAAGATGATCTGGAAGACTAAAATGGATGGAAGCATTATAGACCAATTTCTTTAGTTGGAGTAATCTGGAAGCAAGGCTTTTTCCAAACCTCCTCATTTGGTAGTTACTGTACTTGTCATACTGTTTCAAAATCCATATGCATATAAAATAACAATTCTTTATTTTACAAAACATGCTGAATTCCCACACACACAAGTAGGGTTTGGAACTTTGCTGAGTTAATCATTCCACCTTTGAAAGATTCCATTATAGTTTGAACTTCTTGGACTGCTTGACCAGCAGCTTGGTTATACTGCTTCCTTACTCACATTTTGTTATATGTATGATTAAGGAAGCAATAGTATTATCATCACACATGCCTATCTGTGAATATGCGGAAGCTGCTCATGGTAACACTGATGCTTAACAGATGTGAAGCACCCCACAAAATATACATTGGTTGAATGTAAAAGGGCCTATTACTAATGCCGAAAAACAGCGCTTAAGAAACAGGCCATTACTGCTTTATATGATTGCTTTACCCTCTGTATAAACATGTTTCCTTAATGCCATTCTTTTGAGATTTAGGATTGGGGGTTGGGAAGATGGGAGACAGTGTGCTTGCTTGCTGAAATTTGACAACAGAAGTCATGTTTCTGGAATTATTAGAGAAGAAAAACATTTCACCAACCTTGCTATTCTCTGAAATATTTTAGTACCTTTCTCTGAGAAGCCTGAAATGCGAATTCCTTTTAGTCAGTACACTACCTTTTGTTTACTTAAGCTATTATTGACTAAAGTACTGGAAGCAATGATGCCTATTTATTGAGTCTAAAATGAAGTAGTGTAGTTTTACCCGTGACAATATAGCAACTCCTGCCCTCAGTTATCTGAATGTGGAGCCAGAGGATGGGGATTTGATTCCCCCACTGTGCCTCTTTGACAGGGTCTGGAGCTGATGATCCATCAGGTCCCTTCCAGCTCTGCAGTTCTCAGATTATTATTATTCTATTATAGAATCTTGGTTTTATCCCTGCTTCAAGATTTTGGCACAATGTGAAAGACTGGGAGGTTTCACAAATTTTCAATTAACTCTTATTGCCTTCTTAATCCCGGACATCAATGAACTTTAAGGAAGGATACTAAATACTACGAGAACAACTTCTAGTGAAACATTGCTATGGAGAAAATGGATATAAAAAAGACACACCAACCCCCCTCTAGAACAAGCAAAGCAGAAGAGCAGAAGAAAACAGTTCAGATGGTCAAGTCATGTCAGAATCTTTATTGGAAAAAAAAATCACAGCATCTCCATTATTATTCAAACACATTTAATAAACAAAGAGAAACAGTAGCAAAGGGCACTGACATATGACAAACTGTACAAAACCTCTAGGTTTGCAGGCAAAACCTGAGGGTGAGGCGCCCACGGCCCAGCTGCGGAGGTCCGAGGAGCTGCCCCACCCCTTTGTGGGTAACCCCCTCCCCTCGGACCACTCAGTCACCCCTGAGAAAAATTGATTTAAAATGTGCAGAAACAAAGACACTTTTAAGAGAAGATTACAACCTTGTTTTAACGGAACAATTGGCCACTGGGACGTTGGACCAGCAAGTGGTCCCCAGGGGCTAGCTAAGAAGTTAAAGAAAACCTCAAGAGATGCAAATCATTCAGATGAATACCCATCTTGCCATTCGCTTCTCTTTCTATAGACTGTCTTCTACAGAGGAAACAGATTTTTCCTCCTGCTTTAATAAAGGAGAGAAAATTTTGACCAAGTCAAGGCAAATGGAAGGAAAAGCCCTGTTGTTATAAAAGGCAGAGATACAACTGGTGCAGAACATGGAAGCCAGTTCTTGATATTAACAGAGCCTGAAGGTGATCGGTCATGGTGGGGAAAGAATATCACAGGGAGATGAGCTGGAATGGTGTCTGACTATAGCTAGATTTCAAGCCCTTATACTAGGAAAGCACACAGCTTTTCCAAACCCTAATACTGTTTCTATCTCCAGCTACACAGCTCACCAATCCAAAGAGGATCTCAACAAGCTTAACACTTCAGTTGAGAATAAGGGAAGGGAAGGTGAAGGCAATTGTGTTCCAGTGAAGGACTAAATCCACTGAAAACCTCTCTCTAGTCGTCAGCAACAAGTGGAGTAGATATGAAGACTGCCCCACTTTTATCAGGCAGTAACACTGATTTTTCTCAGAGGTTAGTTCCAGCTTTGCTATAATAGAACAGCCCCCAATCCTGCCAGTTGCAGTTCATTTCACACCCTGATTCTCCAAGATTTAACTGGAGCTTTTCCCAATGGCACAATACAGGCAAGAGAATAAATCGTTTTTATCCAGTCTCTTATCCTGACATCAGGCACTCCTCTAATGGGGCTTCCCCATGCGTGGTGTTTTTGGTGACCATAAAATAAAGCAATGAGGTATTTGTTTTGGTTAACTAAAGCTACACAGTAAGGTCTCCTTCCAAGCAAACCTAACACTGCTACGTGCCCAGAAAGGTTGGGAATGAGTTGGGTTAGGCCATGTTGGAAATGGCAGCTATTCTTGGCATTATCAGCCTGTTTTCTCTTCCAGCCAGTTCACATCACCACAACTCACCCTTCTCTTCCTCCCCAAGGAGAAATGAGGGTGCCCCTGAATGCTATACTTCTGCAGTTCTTATACTTCCTCACAGTACACATACACACCTGGTTATGTCTCAGTTGTGGACATACACTGACAATGGCTGAAAGTACAAGATACTCAGAGATTTATGTACACATCACAGTGTTAGTTAACTCCAGCCAAGACATACAGTCTGACCATGCCCATACCAACACAATAAAAACAGAAAGGGTGTAGGAGGAGGACAAGAAAGGGGGTTGAATTCAACACAGTATGGAGCCAGTTGAGTTTCAGCAGCCAGTAACTGACCTCGAGACCTTTGGTACAGTCTGTTGTTAACAAAGACTGAGCTAGTACAACATTATTCAAGACCTAACCCACAAAAACTTCACTGGAGGTATGTTGGCAGAACTGGCAGGGAAGCTCAGTAATATATGCACAGAAACAGGGATGAGTAATGGAGGATGTGGGGCAGAGGGGAATCTGGTGTCAAACTTCGGATAAACTCCTTTGCTTTATCCATGATAAGGTATTTCAGGCCCTTGGTAACGCTTCACTTATTGTCATTGCCCGTCCATGCCCTCACCCCTATTGATGACGAAGAAGAAATAGAATGGGAAGCCTCATCACCCCACACCATTGAACATGAAAAAGGCAGAGTACGATTCCTTAATGGGAAATCCCAAGCATACCAGTATGGATATAAGGGATCCTCCTGTGACCACAGGCTAATATGGGAGCTACGATTATTGCTTGGGGGAAACCAAAGCATTTCAGTTTCTCTGAAACTTTGGTGCAGTATGTTTGGGGCTTAAACGCAGAGGCCCCCAAGCCATACATGACTAACAAGAAACAAACCCAGAATGTGTAAGGGAGGTATCATGCACCAAATGCTTAAAGGATGCCATTTACCAACAACTAGGAGGGGACATTTCACCAATTAGGGATGGCACAAATTCACTGACAAGATCAGCGAGTCCCATTTGGCTAAGATTAGAATTCAAGAGAGGCACAACATTTCACGTCCATTCAAGGCATTCCAAAGGGGGAAAAAAATCACATAACTTCACACACTACTTTTGGACAAGAAACATCACAACAGTTTGGCAACTTCCATCACCACCCTTCCCTTCCCCACCCCCCTCCCCCACCTGTGCTATGACCCTTAATTATTTTGGGTAAGGTGAAACAATAAAGGAGGGTGGAGGATTGCAAGCACAGAATGACCATGTGTAGATAAGAGACCCTCTGTCCCTGAATGTATTGGATAAAAGTTGTTAAAGCCTACCAAATTAACTGGAATACAAAAGAAAACCTGTCTTAATGCAGGACAGCAAGAGAATAAGGGAATTCTTTTCATGCTGCTGAAGACAAGGCAAAGCTGAACTTGGCAGGAACAAATCTTCCAGATCAAAGAACTACTTTGAAGTAAGCCAAGGGGAGATTCTGGTAGAAGAAATGGGAGTTGAGGCCCATTGCCACCCTCCTTTGAGAATAAGAGACAGTACAATTGAATCTGAAACTTAGGGATAATCATACATGTTAAAAGATGCATGAAGAATGACCAGACCACAATGTTAAGAGATATCTTGAGCTTATAGTTTTAGTGTTATCAGAAGAAAAACCCTTCAGCCAAGGCCCCAAGTGTGCATAATTCCCCCACCGCACCCCCGAAACACTGTTCCCTGTCTAATAGGTATCTTAGCCAGTAAAACAAAATCCAAAACAACAACAGAAAGGGTTTAGGAAATAGAAGGGAATGTCCTTGGTTTAGAAATTCACTTCCAAATCCATTTTCATCAGATATGAGAACTGGGACAGATTTCCTAATGAGTTTTAGACATCGCACTGCTTAACAAATCTTGGTCAACAGTTCAGACCAGTGATCCTGGGATCAGTTAAAGAGCCCAGGAACCTAAGCAGCTCCCAGAAAAATGGTTCTAATGAGAGCCTCCCCAATAAAGTCAAGAAAAAGAAAAGAAAAAGGTAGAAATCCAACAAGTACCAAGACCGGGGGGGGAGGGGGGAGGAGGGAAAGAATGATTAGTGGGGCCAATGGGCTATCCGGCTGGAAGATTCTCTTCTTTCCTCTTTTGCTTACTGGAACCTGGGTGGGATGAGCCTTTGGTTTTTTACCAGGATTGATTCTCCATTGGCAGAACAGGCTCAGCTTTGCTTTGTGTTAGTTTGATTACTGTACAAAAGCAAGGTCAGACTGCGGGAGAAATGCTCTGCCCAGCTAGATTGCCCTTTTGATATCTGGGAGCTCTATTAGATACTTAGGTTACATCCGTGATCCTCGCTCCTGAAGAATCTGGAAAAGAAGAGCAGTGATACAAGAGTTAGTTAAGATTTAGCAGCACCTCTTGCAGCAGAGAAAAGTACAGGACAGAAATCTGAACATATTATTCCATGGTGCTTAGCGATTTGTGCCTTGTCTGCAGCATTACAGGAGAAAATTAATAACCATAGGAAACTGATTAAATTAAATACTGTACAAAATAAGTCCTTATTTAGGTTATTTAATTTTTGCTAAATTGAATCAGTGATTTAGGCAGAGGGGAAATGGACCATGCTAAAATATTTGACTTCTCATAAGTGTAAGGCATATTCCTGCTATACTTTGGCAACTGGGCTGTAAGGTTATTGCCCATGTGAACAGCTTGGTCTTCACTGCTTTATAATCAACTGCAAGCTTCTATTTAATGGATTAACCTACTAAGAATGATTTATATAAAACAACTGACTATGCAGTCTCTAAAGTTGTCCATACACCAGGGCAGTAGACAGTTTATGTGCATTTGTGCCCTTTTGCAGCCATATTTTACAACTTTTACCTACAATTTCTTTCAGATCCTGTTTCCCCAGTATAAAATGCAATGGCAGTCACTGATAGTATGAAGGTCAATACCACTAGCATTAGGCAAGAAAATGTCCACGCTACAGAAAATAAAAACGTCAATTGACAAAATTCACACAGTCGGTAGCAACAAAATCAATCAATCAATCCATCAATCAATTTCCTTGAATGCATGGTCAAAATCTATAAACACGTTTTTCTGAAAGTAAGTCTGACTCAATGCGGTGGGATTAATTTCCCAATAAACATGTATGGAATTTTGGTATATACACTTAAAATCCATTTAACAACCATTCAGAAACTTTGAAGGAAATGGGGAGACAACCCCCTTCTGGAGATTCTAGTTAAAGGAACATATTGAGAAGGTAGGGCAGCATCTTTTCCAGATGGTTTGGGCAAAAAGAAAGCAACAAAAAAAGGAAAGAATCTTGTAGCAACCTGAAGACAAACAGAGTTACTTTATTTAGGTGACACAAGAGTCTTCACACACTCTCCTTGCTTTAACAAGCTAAAACAGACTAGCACAGCTACCTCCTTGACATTCTGAAAGGAAATGACTGATTCACTAAAGACCACCACAACAATTCTGGATTTCCACCTCTCATTTCAGCAGCTTTCTGTGCTATTTCTATGAACCGTGACTGCAGGACAGAGCAATCAATATTAATACAATAACTTTAGTCAAAGTTCTGACAATAAAATTTTATTTGTCAAAACTGCTTACATAATAATAAAAGCCAGCTATCTTATATTTACTACATTCTGCACACAGAAAAAAAGAATGTGATCCTCAAAACAGATTCCTCACCTTTGCTTTCTCACTAGGCTCTATGACAATGCCATTGGTAGAGTTATTAAGCTCTCTGGACACAACACAGAGAAATTCTGCTTGGTCTTCATTTCCATAGTTATAGGAAGACCCAATACTGATTAGCTGAGGAAAATAAAAACAGAGAGGACACAGAGATTAAATGTAGCAGTATGCAAGTTATTTAGACTAAAATGCCCTTTATCCGATCTTTAAGAATTGTCAATTGCAGATAATGGAGGAAGTAACAGAATAAAAGGCCATGACAAAGAACTGTTTTCATATTCCTTCTTACCTTTGAATAGCTTAAGGTCATATCCTTGTTTTAGTCTGAACCTTGAAAATGTCACAAGGCATTGAAACTAACACATAATTTATATGACTTTTCCATGCCATGATATTGTGACATTTTCTTGTACACTACAGTGGTGCCCCGCATAGCGGCGTTAATCCGTTCCAGGATTAACGTCACTAAACGGAACAAAAAACCCCATAGGAACGCATTAAAACCCTATGGGGTTTTTGTTCCGTTTAGCGTTTAATGCATTCCTATGGGGCAAAAACTCAATGTTTAGCAAAGATCCTCCATAGGGGCGGCCATTTTCGGTGCCTCTAAAGCGAGGAATCAGTCCAGAAAACAGCAGGCGGCCATTTTGAAACTGCCGATCAGCTGCTAAAAAAGCATTGCTTTGCCATGATCAGTTCCCCAAGCAGGGAACCGATCATGGCAAATCACCGCCAACCAGCCAGCCCGGGAGACACC